AAAAAAAAAAAAAAAAAAAAATACCAGTATCGGTGAAACATCGAAATTTCAATAAAGCAAAAAAAAAAAAAAAAAAAAAATCCACGAGTTCCGAGATGAAATGAAACTAACTCGTTATAGTTTTAACTACGACTGAAAGCTTTCTCCCGGTTATTTTTAGTACGATAGGTGGCAAAATCCCATGTAAATACAGCGAAAAACATTAAAACGCGCTTAGAACGTTTCGCACCAGTTAATATTCGAGCTTGATTTCGTCATTTGTGCATGTGTTCGACAGCTTCGTATATCTGAAAACTACGATTGATGCCACGAACGAAACATAGTGAAACAAGTAACCGTCGTTGATAATGAAGATGTATATTACTATCTATAAGTATTCAGACACTTGTATAGACATTTATTACAAGTATATACACAGCGGAGCACGTGTGATTGTTATCATTTTGATTTACGTCAAATCATTTCCAAGAATAAAATGTTACAGAAAAGAAAACAAAAAAAAAAAAAAGATACTGATCCATTTGTGTAAAAGAGTGTCATTCGTTTAGAAAATAGATTTGTCAAGCGTTATTAGAATTTTGCAAATGTAACAAAGATATAATTTTTCGGCCAAATTGGAGCAAACGTGATTGTCTATAAATACTTGTGTACGACAACAGCGAGGAGTGTAAATATTTTAAGAGAGAAAACTGCAGGAATTTGCGTCTTAACGAAGTCGATGATGTTTCTGAAGTGGTTCGCTCGGTACAATGAACATCCGTGTTCAAATATCACGATTGCTTTTCAAGTGGATTTCGGCAGCGAAGGAGAAAAAAAGGAGGAGACAGACGAGAGAATATCGGAACACCTTGCTAGGTTGATTAGTATTCAACCTAGCTTCGGCAAACATGGTAAAATCGATCATCCCTCTGTAACTTTAGCAATGCATTTTCTATCTCGGTTCTGGCGAGAGAGAAAGAAAAGAGAGAAAGTGGAGTATTTCAAGTTAAAAAAAAAAAAAAAAATGGCTTGCGTACACGTGTGGATTTGTGAAAAGCCTACAACTTTCGTTATTAAGTGCGATTGTTATGATGGATTAAAGTGCAACTTCCTGGTTCAGATAGATCTTTCATTCGAGCGATGTATTTTAAAGAATTTTTATTAACCCCTTGACACACGAATTAAGTGAATATTCGATACGACAAAAAGATGATACTTATCTTTCATTTTAACATTTGTGTTGTAAACTTAACAGAGGATAATTTTTCTACTCTTATTATATTTATATACTGCCGCAAAATGTCGTAAATGCAATGCTTATAAACAAACTTAATAAAAAAAAAGAATGATGAAAGAATAAATTAATAATTCAATAATCCTTAAGAAACGCATGATGTCTTCCAGACGTCATTGTATATCAAGGGGTTAAATTTCCTCGAATGGCGGTTCACGGTCGAAAAACATGGCCGCCAAATTTTTATCAAACGAGAGACTACGGCGCTAGTCACATTTACAGTAGAAAGTAATAAATTAATAAATATAAAGATATTCTATTATTACGTTTTTTTTCTTCTAAGACCAGTCATTTTGACTGGTTTTGATAGAAATAGCTTCGTCTTATCTGTCGGTAGTGTTGAGCTTCGCTTCGTTTAATTAATTAGCATTGTCGTTGCAAGTAGAGTCCCTGACATTAATACTTTGACACACGAATTAAGTGAAATTCGATATGACAAAAAGATGATACTTATCTTTCATTTTAACATTTGTGTTGTAAACTTAACAGAGGATAATTTTTCTACTCTTATTATATTTATATATTGCCGTAAAATGTCGTAAACGCAATGCTTATAAACAAGATTAATAAAAAAAGAAAGAATGATGAAAGAACAAATTAATAATTCAATAGTCTTTAGGAAACGCACGATGTCTCCCAGATGTCATTGCATGTCAAAGGGTTAATTTTATACAACAGCTCGGAACTATTGAGACAAATCAGACACGTCAGGATTCAGTATGGAAA